CCAAACCAACACACCCCCAAAATGTATACTTTGGCTTCATTTACCAGTCACCATTTCTACTTGTGTAGCCGGCAGCAAAACGCAGCATTTGCAACGCAGGCCCTCATAAGCGGGCTGAACTCCCTCAAAAGCCTCCATGCGTTCAAGCCTGACACTTCCGCCTCTCCTCTTCCCCCACACACTCGGTCGAGGACCGACTTCACAAGGCGCATATCGAGCCTACCCTGAGACAGCAACCCGGCAACTGCGGATCATTCGAGTCTAAAAAGTTTGATCGCGCCGCACACTGGGGTTGCTCCGCGGTCCCGGGCATCACAAAACGCCACAGACCCTGCAACGGCACCAAGGTGAGGGCACGGGTATCCAGAAGCAGTTAAACAGGGAAAAGCAGATTTCAAACAGCATTTCTTCTGTCCTAAAGCCAGAAGCACAAGCAGGGATTAAATACAAGAGAGATTTCTTTAAGCAGCAGTTCTAGGGGGCGAAACTCCCTGGGACTCTGTCTTTACAGTTTCTGGAGGCCAAAGACCTACGTGACCTTCTCTTTGTTTCCGAGAAGATTAAGATAGAAAAAACATTTCTCACGCCAACGATCGCACCTCCCCCACAAGGCCGATTCCTTACTGTTCTCAGCTAAATAACTCCTGGTGCACACAGCTGAGCCGTTCCCCCCCAGCCCTCTGTCCCTCAAACAGGAGTTGACCCAAACACCCTGAAAATCATCCTGCACTTACCAGGAACATTTAGGAGAGAAAAGGTTACAGTATCAGTCCTACGCCATACAACTTTGAGAAGCAACCAAACGGTAGAAACCACACCTCCGCAAGGAAACGCAAGCGGGCGCAGGAACTAGTATTTGGGGACGCGCTCTGTCAGCACTTGACAATATCCCTTTCCTTTGCAAGCTATCTAACCAGACGTAAACTCCCATAGCAATTTACTGCCCGCAATAAAAAGCGCTGTCAAAAATTAAAGGGAAGATGCACACCGACCGTCCGGCGTCCCGCGCACGTTCGTTCCACAGACTGCAGCGTGGGAGACTCCCAGATGAGTCTTCTGCCAGGTCAAAGCTCAAAATCAAAAACATTACCTCCACCACGATTCATCAGCAGGCATAGCCTGAAGCCAGGAACAAACGCGAACAAATTCAGGAAAGCCTACGGACGTATGGCAGGAATGGCCCATTTAACCCGGATAAAAAGGGATCCGCGGTCCCCAAGGCTGGCGAGGAACTCAAGTTTCGGTTTGACTTCGAGCTTTCTCGTCACCTCCTTCCTCCGAGCCAGATCAAAATATTCCGGTCGAAATCTAGGTACGTGTCGGTCAAACATGAACCTCGCTCACCTTTTCCGCCTCCAGTCCACAGCGACAAGGACAACACTCGCTAGCCCCCGCGGCCCTCCTCGGGTACACGAGCCCCAGATTCACGCTTCAAAAGCATGGGCAGGAGCCTCGGGCATTCGCCTCCAGCTGCTCCGCACCGAGACAACTCGAGCCGCTCTCGCAGTTTAAAGAAAAGAATACAGGACTACTAAACAAAAGACTCATGGAATGTCCCGCCATAAACCCACGACCAAAGAGCTGCTGGCTCTTCTGAAAGCTCCCCTCTGTTCAAATCAGCATTTCTAATGCAAGGTTTCACAGCCATCCCACTAGACAAGTGGTGCTGTCGGGGCTCAGTCAGCACTTTTCACTCAAGGCAACCCTGACACAGTACCAAAAGGGAATAAACAAAACCCAAAAACGGAGCGTCAAGTACCGTTAGTGACAGAGGCGGAGGCGTAGCAGGGACTGTGCGAGAGAGAACGCCAAACGGGAACCAAACCTCAAGGCTCTGGGAACAAGGGCGTGACACGTGCAACACCGCACCGACCCAGCAAAGACAGGCTGCATCAAACCGGCAGCCGGATCGCTAGAGGCGGCCCCAGATGGCCAGCTTCCACTGGTGCCGCAGCAGGAACCAGTCACTCGCTTCAAGGAGAACGATTTTCAGCGAGAAACAGCAAGCGCTCTGACATCCGCAGCGCACGGAGCTGCAAACAAAGCCACGGTACCTTGTGAACGAGGAAAGAAACAAAGGACAGAAGACATGAAAGAGCTCAGGAACGACAGAAAGGCTCCCAGCCCACAAAAAACAGACGGAGAAGAGGCTCCCGGTCAGCCAGCCCGACCGACCAGATTTCTCACACGTGAGCCACCTCGCGAGGAATCGGCAGGAGAAACAGAAAAGAGTCCCTCCTGCTGGCACACACTGGCATTTTCAATCCAAGCCCCACGCAACTCTGGTCTTCCCTACCTCCAGACGCTTTCAAGAGATGCCCTGAAATTCCCTCCCGTAAATCCTTTTGCAGCAGCATACCAAACACCTTCCAGTCTTCGGAAATGGCACGCGACAGTCGTATCAGTATGCCAGGATCTGTCCTTCCGAAGAACAGGACGTGGCGTTTTACGCGCGGCATCACGAGGACAACCGCTTTTTCAGTCGGCCGCGTTCCGCGTAAGGCAGGGCGACAGCCCCCACCTCGGGAGGTACCGTAACAGGACGGCAGAGCTACCGATTTCAATCAGGCCTAGGCGATCGCTCTTCAGCGAGGTTTTTCCTCCCCTCTGCCCCATCTCTTTAACTGTACAACCCACAGGAGAGCAGGAGCTTCCATTCAAACCAGGCGTGCTGACAGGGCACGAGCGTTTCTCCAAAGCGTGTCATTACGCTATCCAAACAGGGCCTCCAGGGATGTTCACAACGCGCACGCATCAGGAGACCAGACAACCCTTCATCTAGAAGGGCAGTCCCCTCCCGTGCAAGGAGTCGATTTTGCCCCGCGCTCCTCCCCCCCTGAAAACCCCCGCCACAGAAACGTCCGCTCTTCAAACACAGCGGATCGGATTCGCTAGAAGAAAGGAAAAACCAGACGCAATCAAGAAAGGCTCCTTCTGCTACAAGAAACCCCTTCATCAGTGAAAACACGCAAACTCTCGCCGCCACGTCGCTTCAAGCTCCGCATCAAACTGCCCTTTCGCTAGCACGGCCACATTCCTCACCGTCCATCCCCAGCGTGGTGCCAGTCCTCGGCGCAAGAGGCCAGGCGCTCCGCAGGTCCGGAAGACGGCCCGGCACCCCACCGGCCACGCCCCCGACCGACCCCGAAGGAAAG